TGGTTAGGTCTCCTCTAGAGTGCTGTGTCCAGTCCTGAACACCCCACTTCAAGAAGGACGCCAACAAACTGGAGTAAGTTCAGAGGAGGGAAACCAAGATGATCAGGGGGCTGGAAAGCAAGCCCTATGAGGAAAGACAGAAAGAACTGGGCATGTTTAGCCACGAGGAAAGAAGACTATGTATGGGGAGATATAGGATAGCACTTTTCAAATACTCATCCCAAGGGGAAAGGGCATATAATAAAGGGCTCAAGCTACAGGAAGCCAGATTTAGCCTGAATATCAGGGAAAACGTCTTAACTGTTAGAGCAGTACGACAATGGAACCAATGACCTTGATAGTGGGTCAGCGCTCCAACATCGGAGGCATTCAAGAGAAAATTGGACAACCATCAATCGTATCCGCTTTGATTTGGAGTCTAGCCCCTTTCCAGCTCCATTACTCTACGATTCATTATATGATTTTAAAAATAATAATTGATTTTTATCCACCCTGGCAGCAAACTCATTTTCCGTAACTCCAAGTGGCAGAACCCGAAGTAATGGATTCCGATGATGAAAAGGAGATTTCACCTCAACATTAGGGCGAACTTGACGGTGAGAGCCGTTGGACGGCAGGACGGATTACCTCAAACGGCAAGAGGTGCGAGTCTCCTCCATTGGGACCTTTTAAACAACGGTTGCATGGCTGCCTGTACGGGATGCTTTCGCCGCGGACTTTCTGCTTTGGCACAGGCTGACCTTTGGGGGAACTCTTTCCGCTCTGCTTCTATAATTCTGAGAGTTTACTTTAGCTGGGGAAACAACTGGATTTAGGCCTCTCAAATGGACTGGTCTCATGTTGTTATTTGTTTGAGCACCATGGTTACTTGTCTTTTAAATATTCTATTACCGCAAAAAAAAAAAAACCCTTAAAACCAGTTCTCCATGAAGGGAAGCACGTACATTGCAAAATTCGTAAACAGAAGATATAAATGCAGGGCTGCTGCACCCGCTCCTTTTCAGCTACGCTTCGGCACAACTCCCACAGTCCTCCAGCATTTATGCCCCAGGCACGCGCACACATGTAGCCGGCGGCAAAGGCTCGATCTGGCTAGCTTCTGTGCATGTGCAGATCTAGCCTTCCTTTGCTACACCGAGCAAGCTGGCAGTCCTTCCCCAACATTCTGGGCAAAAGCAAAGGCAGTGGAAGAGCCAGCGGTTCCGAGAACGCCTTTCAGGCAAGGCAGCCCTCCTCCTCTGCATCGCCAGCAGCAAAAACACACCAAAACAAAGACGGAGGTGTTGCGGCACCTTTAAGACCGACAGGCTCATCTCTCGGCGTGAGCCGCCCATTCCTTCGGATGCAGGTGCCCGAGCCCATTTTCTTCTGGTTTGGGGTTTGCAGCGGGCAACAACCCTGCCCCCCCGCCCCCCCCACGTGCTGGCACACTGACCTTTCTGGACGGCCGCTTCTCCGAGTGCTTGCAACGGATACGGGCGCAAGGCTGAGGCGACTGGCCGTAGGGGAAGGCACTCGGGGTGGCAAAGGCCAGCAGCTGCGGGAGGGAAGGAAGCAACGCCAGCTGAGGAGAGGCACACTCGGAGAAACGCAACCTCTGCCCTTGCGCCGTCTGCCGGGTCCAGCAGGGGATGGGCGGCCCTCCCGCTGCCGAGAGCGCCTTTCTGGTTGCCAGGGGGTCCAAAGCTTGCCCAGGGGAGACGGCGGCGGAAAGGGGGGGGGAGTGTATTTCGAAGGCCGTCTCTTTCCTCTCCCCTCCGGCAGAGCCAAGCCTCACCTCGGTGTACGCCGGTCTCGCTTGCCTGCCGCCACCTGGCCAGAGGCACTCCAAGGTCTCCAGCAGCCCGAAGGAGGCCTCCCAGCTGAGCCGGTTCAGCTGGGCCGAGGCCTTGTGCTCACAGCTGATCTGCACAGCAGCCCCCGTGAGCC